AATCACATGATTTAATTCTGCAGAATATGAATGATTGAGAGTAATTTTAGAAAATACTATGACTAGGTGGGTGCTATGGATTACGAATAATAACACAACATTCAAATAATCAAGAGAAATCGCCAAAAAAATCAAACTTAAAAACCTTCTTATAATGAAAACATGGGAAAGGTTTGGAAATGATAACATTTTCAAAATTTACGATAAGTCAGGTTGAAATTCGAGATACCGAAAAGATGCTGTAGATACCGATAATAATGGTACAAATACATTAGAAAAACCATCAATTTTAATGCAAAGAATTTTTTGACAAAAACTGAAAATGCAAATTTTCTTATTATAAATGCAACAGTTCAATTGCTTGACAGTATATATTAGCGGCAAGGTGTAAAAAAATTTTTTGCCTTTTGTATTTTGTGTATATAGATACGATTATTAGAAAAATTATAGAAGTTCCACAAACACGAGCTTAAATTGATGTAATAGACACCTGTCAATGAAAAAATTTTCAAAAGCATTTGAGTACTGAAATTTTGTCCTAAATTGCCATGGCTTACTCATGGCTTACTCCAAAAATGCTCTATGCTTTCGTTCTTCAATCTTCCTATAATCTAAACGAGATTTGAATGCACTGCAACGGCGATCGTCGAAATGGGTGCAGTAACTTTTGGTCAGCTGGCTTTTGCAATTCACTGCGATAAATGTTTTGAAGAATCGATTTTCAATATTAATTGAATTTCAAGCTATTCTAAGAGTTTTTAGTTAAATCCTATAGATCATTTTTGTACAAATACTGGCCTAGTATTGCGATTATTATGATATTTGTTACCCATGGTAACAAGGATTTGCAGGTGGTATCAGCAAAGAATTATAGGAATTGTACATAGATAAGAAAATGGAGCGAATTGCTTGAAGGAGGGGGGGGGGGGGGGGTGGAATAAAGAAGGAGAAGAAATTTTAGCTAAAAAATTTTTTACTTCAATCATTTACTAATGAATATAAGTGTGATAAAACATGCAGCGTTCCCATCTAGCACACGCAATTCACGTAAGCGTTAGAGAAAGCCATGACGCGATCATACTTGGAAAGTGGTGTGTACTGTGCAAATACAGATTTCAAAGCGCTCTGATGCAAAAAATGATCTCTAAACTTGCACTATCTTGCATTTTCATGCTAATTCCCGTTTGAGTTCACATGTACTCTTGAGAACAGTTCCAATCAGCAGGTGCAGGAGTATAAAACTATAGTTTTATGGGAATTTTTGAGAGATGGAAGGGGATAAAATAGGAGAATGGAGTGCAAAATGGAATCTGCAAGAAAATTCCAGGGCTGCTATTTTTGTTTGAATTGCAGTTATGGGGGCAGTAGTGACAGCTCTTATCGCTTTGTTGATGACCATAATCTTCTAATGAGCAAACATTGTCTTCTGGCGTAGAAATCAGAACCTTTAGAAATGAAAGTAAGCAGTTGTGCCGAAAGAACTAGACTTATTAAACGTGTGCAAAGCAAAGTGGGCGGAGCTAAAAGTGCGCAAAAAAACAAAAACGTTGGCAAAGACGAGTAGTCCCTCAGAGTGAAGTAGTAATTATATAAAGTGCAAGTATCGCTGTATAAGGGTGAAATGATGAGATGAGCGTCGAGAGAGTCGCCGTGGCCGTGGCGATGGCCGGGTTCGCGTGATGGTGGTGGAGGTCGTCGCCCCCCGCGCACAACAATCGGGGCGGGGCAGCGCTAACGCGGGGCCCCGCCTCGATTACCGTTTGGCTAGAAGTCAGCTAGCGACAGGAGTTGAGGGAAAGCTGCAGAGACACGTCACTTTTCAAATTTTTTTGGATATGTACTATCTAGTAGTACACATTTTTACAGTTTTTCACGCTAGGAAAGGTTTCACCGAGGAGTTACGTAAGGGCCTCGTCGTTTCTGCGCATAATGTGTAGACCCACATATCAGGTTACGAATGACGCGAAGTCGCATTGTCATCTTAATCAAGTCGTTTGTGGCACGATGTGTGTACTGCACATCACGCGCGTCATCCCACACCTTTTGCAACTACTGTTGCCAATTTCTGGATTTTTCCTCCCGTTTTCTTCTGTTCGATCATACTTACGTGCAACAAAGTGCGGATTCAGTCTGGTTTTTTCTGACATATAAACTTTTTTATTGGCCGTTCACATTTAAAGTCGTGAGGTTGCGTGCGCGGTGTGCAAGCTCACATATCAGCTCACAGGTGACGTATGGACACGCCTATCTACCCCCCCCCCCCTACAGACGCTCAAAATCGTCACCAAAATCTCTCTGAGCAACAGTTGAAGGGGTGAAGAAGGTAAAGAGAGTGTTTTGAGAAAAGTCAACTCAACCTCGCGCAAAAGAAGTCGAGTGCGCCGAAAATGACACCGACCATTGCGCGTTTTTCGCATCCCTCGCCACTTCGACCCGATCGGTAATCCACCCATTTGAGAATGGAAAGTGAGATCAATCGCACGAATTCGGCCCTAAATCCCCATTTATCGTGAATGACAATTTTTTTCGAAGAAGGCTGGTCACGAATTCAATGATCAAAAGAAGTTTACGGTAATAATATAGTGAAACCCGCTAAAAACAATAAATGTTTGGCTTTGTTCATGAGTGTAACGATTCTCAATTAGAACCTTTTTCGAAGATTACTACTAGCCCCATTTGAAGTGAGAAATAATGATTGTGGTTACTGGCAAAAGCAACCGACGGTTACACTATAAGAATTGCATTAATTCCAATGCTACAATCAAGGAACTTCTATTAGAGAGAGTGGAAATGAAATTGAGAGGCTTGGCAAGATGATATGAGTCAAAAATCAACAAGTTTTCTTAGCCACAACAAGAGTTTTGGAACAAAACAATTTGCATAATTTGTGTCGTCATAAATATGAGTTCAATTCTAGGATTTGAATACCTAATGGATAATTTGAATGCCTACAAATCCTTACTATTCCTTCCAGTATCAAACCTTTCAGATAGGTCTAAAGACAAAGCGAACTGTAGATTTTGGGTCATCACAGAAGCCTCCAAAGATCGAACAGTCTTGAAAAATTTAAACTGCTCAGATTTTTTTCTTCCTATAGCTGATAATCACAAACAATCATAAATGACTCGTTTTACTTGTTATAATGAAAATAAAATTCATAATCTTCAAATTCGAATAAGCTTTGCGGAAAATTTTGGAATGGCGACAGTAAGGTCTGCTACCCTCTGTTTCACTGAAGTTGGCGGTTAGAGGGCGGGGCTTCGGTCAATTAGAGAGCATGTATGCGATGCAGAGCCTGCATCTCCCACGCATAAATGCTCTCTAATCGATCGAAGCCCCGCCCTCCAGCCGCCAACTCCAGTGAAACAGAGGGTACGTGAAATTTTAGGGACTATAGGCCCAGTAAAGGTTGGGAAACATCCTCATGCGAATTTCAAGGGGCGTTAGCCAATTGCATTTTTAGTAACTTTCTATCGCTAGCTCCCCCCCCCCCCCCCCGCCCGGTCCTTCCCCCGAACGAAATAATTGGACTACCACTGACAGTAAAGAAGACCATCAACTGCCAATAATGCTGGAGTTTGAGTTGCGGTGGTTTATCTTTGAATTCATATTATTCCTTCTGAATTTACATTCTCGCCCATTTCGAAGAAAAAATCATGAGAACCTTCAAGATTTTTTCAGAATTTCAGAACGTCTTTATCCTGACAGGAAATGTCATGTGAAGAAAAACACTTGCTTTTGAAGTGACCTACCCTCTAATCTGGATTTGCGGCTGAAAGGCGGGGCTTCGTGATTTAATTAAGGCTAGAGATTGATCAGGGCACATTTTTGAAAGAGACGCAGATTGCGTCGCGGCGCGAGCGGTTACCTTCCAGGCGCCAATTTTGTTGAATCAAAGGATATGTAAGGCATTTCGATTGAATCCTGTCAAATCAGAAGTCCTATTTTCCGGCAAACCCGTTTGCTTGCAAAGCAATTATTCGTCTACAATTTTTACGTTCTTTGTGCCTGCACTTGCAACTTGCATCTATAGTGCCACAAATGCTGTGTAGCATGTTTCCTTCATAAAACCGTACCAGTTCCAAACCGACAATTTCGCTTCAGAGCTTTTTTCAGTACAGATTTATTGTTATCCTCGAATAATTGCACACTCATTGCAATTGACGTGACGACGAAAAAAAAACACGCTATGGCCGATCGCTCACTTTTTCACGGGTGCGATTGTTGGAAACGGGGGAACGCAATAATGTCGTAATTAATTGAAAGTGGCAATAGCATCAAAATGTAATTCCGTGACCTGAAGTTTTTGAATTCTTTCACGGAGAATATCTAAAACTATTGCTTCTAATAAAAATAGATTAATTCTCTTGGATATGAGCAGGATTCTGTGTGTACAGTTGGTTTCACTTCGGTAGCCACTTTGTATTATAGTCTGTGCCAACGGCGTTTCCCATTTTGGTTTGCACGCGCGAAGCTCTTGAAGGCAGTGTCCATCCAAATTTGAGGTTGATAAGACGATGCAGTGCAATAGCGAGGCCCCTAAGCAAGTGATTGCCCGAGCCGCGCTGCAAAAGGGGTATTCCGAAGCAAGAAAATAGCTCCGAAAAGTGCACGCTGGTGAGGCCGCCACGCCCACCGATGTGAGCGGGCAAAGAGCCAAATGTACTCCGATTACCAAGATCTCGAAAAGGAGCTGTTCGCAATGAAGGACCAATTTAGGTACTATCGAGCCTAGTTTCGCGCTCTCTATCTTCACGCAACCCCACGCTAGTGGGCGTGGCGACCCCAGTAGCATCCTTATTGTAAAACGATTTTCTCGTTTTAGAATACACCTTCTGCAGCGGGAGTTGGCCAATTACTTAGTCAATAGCCTCGATACTATTCAGCATCGCTAAGGCATTTTGTGACTCAGATACAAAGTCCTGCGCAAAAATAGACCCTCCATCGGCAAAAAAGTCTATCATTAATGTATTTTTGTCTGTCGAACGAAGACCACTGACCATTTATGGCCTCCTCACTCCAAACAGGCGATTTCCTCTCATCGTTTGCCACCTCTGCAAACACTCGTAAAAAGTGTTTATTCGCAGCGTCCGTTGCAAGTGCACTCAAATACACAAAATTTGTTGTAACTCGATATCCAACACGTTATTACGATGACTATATAATCTAGAACTAAACAAATAAAAGCTGGGCATTTTTACAAGCACTGAAATGTTGCTATATACAGCAATACGAATGCGAGCAAATATAACGTCATATGATGATAAAAGCTAAAAATGAGAAAGCTAATTTATGAGCATAACTAGGAGTATACATCGATCGAGGTCAAAGCTAAGTTTTTGCGATCATCTCAGAAAATAGCTGCTATTTTACAATAACTGAAACCACAAGTGTCTTTGATCTACACATTCAAGTACCTGATAGAGTAACGCTTACAGTAAGCTTAATCAGCATAAACCCATGATTTACCGGTGGGAAAATAAAAGACTACCGATTGAAGTAGCTTTAATGAACTGATACAAAAGATGAGAGACTTATATCACTTGATTTTGTTGTAACTGATACCAGAGGGTTATGAGCAGTAGGACTAGAATTTTGCGTGGAATAAACTAATATCAAGTTTTTTCTTTCAGAAAAATTACAATCCATTCAGAAGATTCAAAATTACTCATTCATTTGCGTTTAAGACAGCTCAAAGCCAGCTCCAGCATTGATGGCATACCTAAACAGACGGAAATGAATTTCTACTCATTTAGGTCTAAATGAACTCAAAAATTCAATCTTACACAATAAAACAACCAAAAGCAACAACAAAATGATCACGAGAAAGCAAACTTAACTTCACAGAAAAAAATTCAAAACTAGCCTCAATTTGTCCTCAAGCTTGGCACGAGAATTATATATAGGCAATTTGAAAAGATTCATACATGTAGCACTCGTAGGTAAATGGTCAGAGTCGTGTACCTAAAAAATTGCAAAAATCCAGCAATTCCACGACGAACAAAAAGCAATGGTGGACGAGAACTGGTCCCCATCGAAAAGTGCACATAAACGCAGAAGTGCAGGGAGCGTCAAAATTACTCGAACGCTCTCCATCTTCTTAGCAAAACTTATAACAAGGTCTGCAAAATCCGAATAGATGTATTTCGAGGAATGCAAACTTTAGTGAAGAAAAAGCTTTACATAGGGAGGGGGAGGGGGCTAATTTATGGAGGTATGATAGAAACACCCACCAACTGAATTCCTATAGCTGGATAAAGCATCTTGAATCCTTCAATTGGTGGACGTGAGCAACCCGTGATAAATCTGAAAAGGCAAAATTCTCAAAATAAAGAGGGAGAATAAAGTTTGAAAATTAACTACAAAGCTGGCAAAACAAACTTCAACAATCCGCGTTTGTCTTCGGGAGACATCTCCGAAACCACACTCCAGAACGTATTCATATAATCACGATCAGCATCATCTTCAAACACATGTATTCGTCTCAATGAGTGAAAATTTACAATTCTCCATACCTCGTATATTATGAACAGCAGTGTGCTTCATCATATCGTCCACATCAAGATCAGCATCTGCTCCACTCACCAAAGTTTGCAATTCAGAAGGAGAGAACATTGCTAGCCAGTTCGGATCTATCACTGTAGACACTCCGGCACGCATTGCGTCCACCAAAGGTTCAATCTATAAACAAGAAAACCAATATCGAGAAATATTTGTTGAATCACACAACAATCTACGAAACTGGCAGAAGAGGTCTCGAAATTGTAAAACGATCTAATTTTCGCGCGGAAAATTGGGTCAATGCGACTTTTAACATATGAAGTGAGTGGAAGACTGAGTAGACTCACCCGCTTGTAGAGGAACAAGTTCACATATGTTCTTATGTACTCCAAACGATTGTCGACCGTAACCCGTATATTTCGACCACCAGGAACAAGATCTATTGTCTGAAATATTAACATTTACATACTGTAGTAAAATTTGACAGTATAAATCAAGTTTCATATGAAGAACGATCATGACATCATTTGGCACACCAAAATGGTTCAACGAAGGGAGAAAACGGTTGATAAAGAAAGGTTACCTGAACATCTCCCATGTCATCCACGATAACGCTAAAATCAAGTTCTAAAGCTGCTAATTCATCTGCTGACATACAGCGCAAATTCTTCAGATGTCTGTAAAAATGTAATTAATCGGTGAATTCTTTCACAACTTCGGAGATGACTCTTACTTATAGATCGCCGGATCATATGATTTCATGTGATGTAGATCAACATCAGTGTGCCGCTTTCCTAATAACTGTGCAACGAAGAACTCGGCAAAACGTATTTCTGCCATTTGTTTCTCGTAAATTAGCTAAATTATGTTTGTTAAACAATTCGCCAACAAAGTACGTTGTGGTGCCAATCTTTCCAAAACAAGTTTGAAGCCAGTCAAAAAGTAACAGTAATGTCATGCACTAACGATGCAAAAAATGGCTATCAGACTTTTTTGTACGTGAGATGACTAACATACCTTCGCAACTACTCGTCCTAAGAAGAAGAAGTGTTGAGAATACGAATCTGGATACAGCTGCATAGATGACGGATTAGGATAAAGCAACCTAAACATGTTTGTTCGGACGATAATGACATGTCCATATGGCTCACCTATCATGCGTATACTTGAAAAATCCTCTATCTGGATCAAATCCAGTTCGAAGTAGCTCCGTCAAAAATTCTCTGGAGTAAAGGACTTTGTTACTCTCGCACCTCCGACGCTAAAGGAAGTGACAACTGTGGAAGGATCGCAGCTCACCTGAAAATCCCACCGCCGTCAATGCCGACCTCATTCAGTCCAACCCAATTTGTCATCGACACCCGTATTGGTAAGCGAAGATTAGGAGCTGAAAAAATTCGTTTAAGGCTCAAGATCAAGAAAGAGAACGGGGGACCCAGTGACTTTTCACAGTGTGCATCATTTTAAGTCTATAAAGATTGCGAATCAAGACATATTGCTATGCGAAAACAGGATCAAGCGAATTCAAAAACTGTATAGTTCAAAAGCTTGAATGTAGTGTCGAGAGGCGAGGAGATATTTGAAAATTCTGAAGAAAGACTTCCACAGAAAAGAACTAAGGTCAAAGGCAGTGTCCGGGAGAACTTGGATCGCCACAGTTCCAAGAAATTACTGAAGCGCGCTCCCCAAGCAAGCGAAAGGCCGACTGCAACTGCAAAATATTGTGTGGCGAGAAAATCGAGGGGCGATGCTCTTCTGAAGCGATTTTCTCGTTCCAGAAGCAAAATATTAGTTGCAGTCAGGATATGGCTTGTATGGGAAGCCCACTTCAGTAATATGCAGGAACGAGGTGCTCCCAAATTTGCCCGAACACTACCTTTAGGCGATACGAGCAAAATGTGAGTCAAGTGAAATAGTCTATTCGGGACGAAGAGGACAAAAAATGACTGAATACAAAAACAACTTGCACATTTATGGTTGAAATAATCGTACAGGGATGTTGGTGATCAAAAAATTTTCGATTCTAACAGATGGCCTACCATTCCCAAGCGATAGCGCCTCGAAAGCGTCCTCGTATAGATGTTGCCGACGTACCGCTATGCTGATACCATTCCGTCGCGATCCTAGGCCTGCTGAAAGAGCAAGACGAGGAAATAAGGGATGCAAAGAAACTTAGTCCCAGCTTACCAAAACTATGAAAATCATCCACAATATCATTAGCCTCGCGATCGTGCGCCAATAAATCTTGGAAAATCTGCAAACTCATCCTAAGTATGGAAAAAGATGTTTCCTCCCCATTACCTTCACTCTCTGCATAAAGGGCACCACAAATGGAATCGAACGGATAATACTCAAATTTCTCATATCTGCACTAGTGGCAGGCAAATCATGCGAAGGACCAGCCTCATCTTCACTATCGCTGCTGCTGTCACTTCTAAAACACATAGCAGATAACATGTAAGACTAACTGACAAAGGAAAAAAAAATGAACTTACCCCAATTTTGGTCTACCATGCAAGAATCGCACAAAACTAAATGGTGTAAACATCCGCTGTTGTGCTTCCGTTGCGAATCCACGTCGTTTTGGAGGCAAAAACGATCTCCTTGTGACAACAACCTAAAATGAAATGAAAACTTTAGGAATGCCAGTGAATAAGATTCCAGTAGCACCTGTCGCTGATGATTACTCCAGAATTCATGGGGCAGGAAGTGCACACGCGAGTCCTTCGCGTAGAGGGACTGCAGAGTGCTAATGACAGTCTCGTATAAGGTCGACCACTACAACGAGATTGCCATGGCATACAGTTCAAACTTCAGAAAGAAAAACAAGGAAAATTGCGCATGATCTAGAGAAGTCAAAAAATTCAAAACAGATGCAAATAATCGAAAAAGAAGCAAAACAAAAAACATTTAACGAAAATTAAAGCTGAAAATACCTTAGCTGCATCGCGATTTCTCTCTTCGGCTGCTTTAGCGGTGATGAAAAAGTCCTCGGGGAATGCGAGATCTATCAGGCCCAGGCCGACATCCCTGAAAGAGTTGAATAGCGACCAGCATTACATCACCGAAAAACATTTTTATATGTCATCAAATCAGAGTGAATATAATTTGACACAGAAAAAAAATGGACTGCAACTTGCTATAGGTTTCAAGATAAAACGGCATCTAAGATGGACTACAACTAAAGAACACCGCTTCTCAAAAATGAGCAATTTTTGCGGTAGAAAAGTTATAACAGTGGCTCTTGAGGAAGAACTTATCAAAGACTGCTAATGCGAACCTGATCACTGTGATAAATTCCGTAAGCTTTTCGTTGCTGAAAATGATGTACGGATTTCCCGCAACAAAATCAGCATCGTCGATAGAGGTTATGTAGGCTACAAGACAACCACAAAACAGCGAGAATGTCTGAGTTAGCTTGTCCCTCGATACATCATCCAAAGAATGTCCTAAACAGCAGTCAATTATTATTCTCCCAAAAAAAAAACGAAAGGCAACGCCAAAAATAAACGTACCCATTTTGAGCAGATCTATGTTATTCGCCAATCGTCCAGATTCAGAACGAGATTGCAGACCCATGAGTAATTGCCATAACCTATATGAGATGTGCTTACCAAGCATGACTCATAACACCATAATTCATACCTGTTCATACAAGCAGCCGAATTTGACAACAACATCAGAGTATCCGAATTTCGGATCTGCTTCTCAAAAGCTATTAAAGACCAAATGTTTTCATCATTCGGAGATTGTACTGAAATAACATCGTAACGAAGTTGAATCACACTGACATCTATCGTTCTTACCTGCATTTTTGCATAACGCAGAAAAAGCGGGCGACTCGAAAGCAGCATTGATTGACGAAAGCATAAATGCTTGAGCCTTAAAAAATATGAGCAAAATTTGTAAGAATGACTGTTGATGAAGTTGAAAATTGCGAAAATTCATCGATAGACAGAAATGACAAAAAAATTGCAAAATACTTACCTCTTGATCAGGTATCCGTGGAAGCTTGCCTTTGGCTTCCAACTGATGCATAGCCTGCTTGTACCTAGCACATTGCGACAGTAGTAGAAATTTGTCTTCATTGGATACTTAAAACATTTAATTTTAAAAGGATTACACCCTCTTCCGACGACTAAAGTACTGTAGTAAAACTGGTCCTCTCCAGATGACACTAAAAACTTACTTACCTTCTGTATGCTCACATATTCCCAACAGTAACGCTAGAATGTAAGTAGAAGTTACTCCAGCTGGTATCGTGTCCGCTCCAGGATTGTTGAAAACTTCTAATGCTTCGCGAAGCGAGATTCTATTGACAAAACTTTCATCTAGCTGCGCCAACTCGAGTCTTACCTCGATGTTCCCAGTAAGCGGCAAAAGAATGGAATTATCAACGAAATCATTGCATCCGGGTGAGAATTCGTACAAATGGATCGTATAAGATAGCGAATGATAGCGATTCTAAGCGGATATATTATGGATAGGCTCAGAACATTGGCAGCATATTCTTTACCTTTGCTTTCCTGCAACCTTCATGACCGGTAGCACCAGCTGCTCACAAAGTGACTCCAGTCGCGGTGACAACCGCGTTTCCATTACTATAGCCGCTCCATCTCTCTCTGGTGCATTTTTTGCTACCAGATCAAGCATACAGTCGAAATAGTGCAACTGAATCGCGAAACATAACTACGACAATAAATTGAGTAAAAATATCCCCACCTTAGCCAGATACGAGCAATCACTGGAATCAAGAAAAGTTTCCAAAAACCTGAAAATTGTGCGTAATTCAAATGAGAAAGACGTTTTCATGGTTTTTGAGTAGAACACGATCTTACTGTCAGTCTAGAATGAGTGCAAAGCGATTACCTGACAGGCATAACAAAATTGGTGTCCTTTTCAGCATGAGATAGGTACTTCAAAAGGCACTTGTAAAATACCAATCGACTTTGTGTTGCGACGAGTTCAGCTTCACCTTTGCTCGCACGATGCAATCCCAGAGCAGCAGAGCACAGCATAACCTAACATCGTTTGACAATAATTAGGAGCAACTTATAAGAGAAATGGCATCAGAAGAGAAAAACAGATCCGCTAATTAAAGCATTGGGACAGGCGTTTTTGCATGCATGCATGTATGCACGAACTCACCAGTCTCCCATCGTCTTCAGGATAACGATAAAACATATTCATTCTCATTACTTGAAGATTCAGTGCCTAAAAATGGAAAACCAAATCGTCTTAAGACATCAGTGACAAAGCCACAAAACATACCTCTTTCGTTGTTGGCCGTCCAATTTCATCAAACTCTTCTCGAAGCTGCTGTCCTATTTTATCCCGAGCTCTGTGGGCACGCCAAGTTCGTTGTATAACTATAGCAGCTTTCTGCTGTTTGTGATCTGCAAAGTAAACTTAGGAAAGCTGCAAAGACGTATACAGCTGTCTTATGTGCGTAATATTTAAAAGCATTCAACCAGAAAAAAAACCAAAGATAGATTAACAATAACAATAGACTATTTACTAACCTATTGCCCGTGCCTTCCGCTGCGCTTGCAACTCGCGTAAGAATCTTTCACGATCATTCTAAAAAAATTGAAACCATGGCGAATCAAACTTTGAAGGGAAAAACCTACAAATGTGTTGAGTACAGCTTCCTGTTTCTTGTTTCTCTTTATAGATCCATCAAAGTCGACTAGATTCAAGAATGATGACATGCTAGATATGACAAGCAATTAGTGTTGATTAAACATGAACAACATTCCCACTACAGAGAATATCAGGCGACAGGTAAGGCTCTGGCTAGCAGGTTATTGCCATCTTTCTAAGCCCATATAAAAAGAAATGTTGTCGTTTCATATTCTTTATTCTGTTCAAAAGTGAGAATGGCAATTTATAGTGCCAAGTCTGCCATCCACGGTGCATGCTTTCTATCCATACCCCCAACGTAAAATGATAAATGATATTTTCAGTGATTGAAACACTTTGCTTTCTTTCACGACATAGGATTTATATTTTCATTCAATAATTATTATAACAATCTTATACCCAAGTCATTTTGGGTTGCATAAACTTATAACAAGCATAATTAACAGACTTACAATAACAGGAAGAAAAACAACTGTATGCTGAAAATGTGACAAGACACCCATTTAATTTAAGATACAAAGAAACATGACTATCGCTCATTCTGCATCGCTCTCGTCCTCATCACTATCTTGCTGTAACCAATCCACGATCGGTTTCATTATTCGCTTCAGCTCAGATTTCTGTAATAATCCAAGTTAGCTTTCTCATCGCTATGTGAATGTGGCCATCTAAATATGGACATTAATTGAATGCGAGAACGGCTCCTGACCTCATCAATTGTCGCTGCCCACTCCAAAATAGCTTCCTCTTCCAAGATGTCCAGATCGTTATACAAGAAATGAACAAGTCGGGCTACAATCGGGCCAAACTCATTGGGATTATCTTTATATCTATCCTGCAACATTTTATGAGTTTGATGAATGAAGGAGTGCATTGATAATGCCAAAAGTAACAATTACCTCAACAGCCAACAGAAGCTGCACTTGGCTTTTCTTCGGCTTATAGTAATTGGTGAACAAGAGGACCCATTTACTACACAACTGTAAAAAAATAGATAGTACAAAAATTGCAAGAAGCTACAATGAACAGACCTCTTTCAAACTCGGCCAGCTTTCATTTCCAGGTAAACCTAGGAAAGCAGAAAACACGTACTTTGCCACATCGTCCATAGATATATTGTAAGCGAGCTTAGATGAGTTTATTTCCAAAATAAGATTATGCATCTAAATGATATGAGAATGAGTATTAACTGAGTAAATCTCAGCTAGCAGATAAGGCATTATTACAAACGAAAACGAGCTTGCTATAGAAAGATGCAAACGATCACCTGTTGTTTACTGAATATAAAGCCATGTATTCTCTCCATGCTTTCAGCAACTTCTTCATAGAACTGCGCAGTTGCATCAAGTTCGACAGGTTCGGCATTCTCACTTTCAGTGCCAAGTTCGCTCAACTAGATCATAGACATTGATGAGGAGGATTTTTACAAAAAAAAAAACGCAATCTATCGAAAAGGAGGAACAAAAGGTTGAAAATAGGCTAAACTTGAAGTGAGAAAATTGACATTTACAGCAAAAAATGTAACTGATCTGCTAACTAATCAGATAAAAAAGAGGAAACGAAGAGAAGCGAAGGTAAAGAAGAGGTAGAACTATGGATTATTCGGAACATACATTGTCTTCACCCATACTTCCGTTTCCAGAGTCTACCTTACGACCATTTATCGTCCAGAACGGCCCACCATTAGCTAGTGTCCAGATATGAACATCTGCAAAAAATATGACTGGGAACTCAATAAAATAAAATTTCTAAGTCGATGCAACAGTCGATGAACACTACCAAACAGGACCAAACCTTTTACGGTCTTGCACTTTATTGTTTCGTCATAATCTTCATGGGGAGGGCTGGAGCACAGAGCGCAATTAGAGGGTATTTCCATGTCAGGTGGGTAAGACACCTACAGAGGCAAAGAATAAAAGGCCATTCTAACCGTTTTCGAGCTCAAAAAAGGTGGATAAATGCAATAACGTTGAACGCACCTCTGCTGAAATGACAGAATGCTTCTGAAGTTGTGTTCCATCTGGTATCCGTACCGCATTACCTAGCACAGACTCTTCAAGACGACAGTTCTCCCCAATCACGCAATTTTCTCCAATGATGCAGTTAACCAATACAGTGTTGGCACCTCAAATGACTGCTTTCATAGAAAATACTTGAGATGGGTAAAGGCATTAGAGGAATATAAGAAAATTAAAAAGCGTAGTCACGATAAAACAGAAAACAGACCTATGTGCGTGCCCCTTCCCACAGTAGTGCAGGTGATCACAGCTGACTCATGCACATCACATTTACAGCCGAAAGTCGTATTGAATGCCCGCTTGCAAGCACTAAAAAAGCGATGTGGCATATGTGTGTACATGGAACAAGTGAAGGTTAACACTGCCGCACTCGAAATATTACACACCATCAATGAAACCTGGCTTACCCCCATTAAAAGATTGTTCATGTCTGCAAACCATAATTTTTGCAAAAATGAACTGCAATTGGATTTGCTATTCTTTGCAAAACGTGATATCAAAAAATGTCATAGACCTATGTGCACTAAAACTAAATAGATTAGTCAACGTCAACGTCATTTTATTATAGGATGAATCTAGACGATGGCAAAAAATGCTGGTAGGAAAAAATTTTCACAAGCACGGAACTTACTTGCTCACTAAGAAAAGAAAAACAAAATCGAGACAGTCAATTTAGTGAGTCACCATCAATAACGACAAACCTCCCAACGGGTGACAGCCTGCCAAAATCCTGCTCGTCAACGGCTACGTATACATTTCCAGGCAAAGCGTTGAAGCCGCAGCAGTCATCGGAGGCCTAGAGCCGTCACAGAATGGGTATAAACTCAAATCGAGAAGACAAAAGTAGCAGAAAGAATCGTGTCTTACCATCTTATCTGGTACCAAAGGATAGAACCATCGTTCCATGAGCAGATTGCTAATAATAATTAACGAACAATAATCGCTGTAAAGGACTAATTAGCCATAACATACTGAAACACTGGCACATCAAACTTACATAACACTGAGCGCAGCTTCTGATGGTGGAAGTATTTCAACGTGTATGTTTTGTAACAATATTTCTTCGTTAACCAAAATCTCTCTGATAACATCGTCGCGATGTTGAAAATCAAAATTGTCGCTAAACTGAGCTGATATGTTCAGAGAGCATATAGCAATGCCGCTGTCGACAATATCCCTGCGTATTACAGCGTCATCGACAAAATGAGGCTAAATAAATACTATTCTTGCCAAATTGAGAAAATCACCAAATTTACCTTATCAATATCTAGCTGAGTAGGATCTTCCTTTTTATGATATATTTTCAACTTCTTCGTTGATTTTTCGATACCAATCACAGCATTTCTAGGCGTCTTCAGGTCCGAGTAGATCACAGTCATGACATTATTTTTGTTTTCGCTACGTCGTTGTCTGCAATCACATCGTTTGACATAAGCAAAATCGCTGCAGTATTCTCATTACATAGATGCGAAGGGTACGTCACAAACAGCTGGCACAACAAAGATGTAATCGTAAGGGAGAAAACAAAATTCAAAAAAAATTTCTTCTCGCAGATTGTAACGTGTTCGTCATCGCAGGCGAGGTTTTCATATTCAGCAATTTAACTATGAAGTTTCCCATAAAAAGCAGTTACAAGAAAGTGAGGTCATACTTAACATTCCTTGACTGTTTTGTGCACTAATCGCTCGAAATGTAAGCGAAAAAACAGAACACAGAAGGAATTCTATTTCCGACCTGTAGGCAGCTATTTGTGCTTTGAGAGTTGATGAAGTGAAAGTTGCCGGATTCGAAATCAGTAAGAAATCACCTGTAAGGAAACAGTTCCAGGCATTCGGAGAAGAAACTATGTGAAACATACTGGTTAACAATCCTCGAGTATCCAACTCCCTCAATGCATCACCAACACTCATCGAGTTTTTGCAGCGTATGAGTGACAGCGATTCGAAACAATGCTTCCATCGGCTAAAGTAAAAGAGAAATGATTGAAATATACATGTGAGAGCGTACAGAACCGACTTCTCAACTTTCTCCATGAAATGTGCATTTTTTTGTGATACAATAAGCATGACTTTATGGACTTCGGTTCGCATAATCCATGACAAAGTAAAATCTATTAGTGGCACATTGCATATCGGTTGCAGACACTAAACTATAAAAGTGATGAAAGATAAACTGTTTAGTTATTCTTCATTTTTAAGGACGCTTTCATCTTTATAGGATCAAACAAGCAAAAAATCGTGTATTCAATGCAGAAAAAATTTCGATAGTACCTTCTAGCAAAAAGTGATGATGCAAAAACTCACCCACGGTCCGGTGCCGGCTGAAAGAGGAGCAAATCTTGGATCATACGAATCCACAACTATGACACCAGTGAGCGGTTCGTTGTCCTTCTTTTGCTCACGTTTGGGAGGCATCGTCAAATCCCTCCGAGTCTATAATGCAGATTTTTTATGTAGCCAGAAACTTCTCAAAAGCAATCACAAAAGCAACAGAGGAACGTCGAATGTCAGTTAGCTTTCTCAGCGCGCTCTAAAGCCAATGCCCGTCGATTGCTGCACCACATCATTTAATCTACGCCTAAACAGAGCAGGCATGCCATCTGTAGCATATATGCCGTTAGCATGGCGTTGCAACGGAGAACTTTGATGCGACGACGACACGGATGTACTATTTTTGTTCTAAAATCAAGACACTCGCGAATGAGTTCGTGAACTCACGATTGGGTAGCAAAGTGCTTCTGTTCTACAGAGACAGTGTCTTACCAGAATCACGGGTTGTTTTCTGCGGCTCCTGGGCCTTCTCGTCACGTTGAGTCTGAGATATATGGGCTTTGGACAGCGTGGAGAGGGTCAGATTTGAATGCGCCTCTGCTCGCGCGTACTCAGAGCGAGCAGGACACGAAATCTGATGGAAACTGGTTCAGGAGGCCAGCAAATGAGTCCTTTGTACCATCAAAATTGGTAACACAGAAAAACTATCCAAAGGCGTATACCCAAACGTACAATGTGGAGACTGGTCGAAGGGCCCTAATCGTGCCATTGTCAAGTAGTAACAGCTATTTGAACTATTCACTTTAGTATGTTTTGCGCCACAATCTCTCCTCCACCCTACTCAAAGGGGGAGACGGTCAAGAGGTGCGATTTCTCTGGCTGTCACCAACTTAAAGCCCATTTTTGCACTACACAAATCTTCAAAAAGTGCCAGAGAAAGTCGTTTAGCTTACTAGCTGTTCGAAGTTACCATTTACTGAGTTTCACGACTTTTGCTGCAAAAATGAGCGAAATGTTCGCGAAATTGCCATTATTTGCATTTTCATGGGTTTTTGACCTCTAATGTTTCTGTTTTGGATCTTTCTTGAGATGATAAGATCAGACAGCTCATGCCACGATCTTCTATAACTTCTCAGAAATTTGAAAGACCCCTAGAACATTATTAAACATTTGAAAGGTGCAATTTGATGTCCAGCTGGCAATAAAAATCGCGCCTCTTGACATACACCCACTCAAAGGTACAGATTTTGGGATAGGGGACTCCTCCAGTTTGATCCCACCTTCGCTGGCAACTGGTCCTTTTGCAACATTATTGCATGTCGTTGCAGGCAGGACCAGTTGTCCGCGAAGGCGGTTCAAACTGGTGGAGTTCGTTCCCCTACCCCAGATTCCGTCCTGGGTGTACGGTAATGGGCGATAATTCAGAGTGAGTCGGTCACGAATGAACCTACCTATATGAGCTGTAGATCCCAATCAGTTCAATCATCTACCCATATGAAAACTCGGAGTAGTAAGACCTGATAATGAACAATAACTCCTTAGTCGTCACGAGAAAAATTCCGAGGAAGAGGGGGGGGGGGGGTTGAGGGTGACAAGCGCTCCAAATAACCTGTTTGGAATGCCTTTCAAGTATTAGGTTGGTCCAAAAGTTCTATCGCAACTTTTTCAAAAAATCATAACTTCTTCCTAACACGATGTTTTTGCGTAAAACCTTGTTAAAAAGAGCAATTCATGCACTTTCCAATACTACCTTGGTTGCTATCTACTAACAAGGGAAGGATAGTTGGATGCCGCGGCCATTCCTAATGATTTGTACAACAAAAAATGCGCCTTCGAATGCAGATTCTGAATCTGTGCTCGAAATCTGCGAAACGATCTTTTGAAGAAAGTTATGAACTTTATTTTATTATTATTTTATTTATTTAGACTATCTGGATCATACCCAGCATTTGATAAGGAAAGAAAATTTTTTATTGATGATTTTGACCCTCCGCAGGAACGCAATTTTTTTAATGAAAAAAAAAATCATAACTCCATTCAGACTATCGTTTCGCAAATATGGAAGACAGTCTACGAACCAGTATTCAAAAGCGCATTTTTTGGTATACAAATCATTATGATTGGCTACGGCATCCAAGTATCCTTCCCCTGTAAGCTCTGAAGCAAAGATAAAATTGGAAAAAGGAAATCACTTCTCGGAATTTTTAAGCAAGCCCGTTGAGAAATCCAAAACTGTGCCATAAGATCCAAAACAGCCACTATTCTAGACTTTTTCACCTACTCTCTCCAGCTCCAGCTTCGCGCTGATCGAGCTGTTCCCTTGAAAGTTATGATTTTTTGCAGCAAATGTCAAAAAATCAATTTTCTTAAGAAAGTGATTTTGTTAGCATTTTTTCTCGAAAATCATAACTTTTTTAAGAAGAGCTCGATTAGTGCGAATTTTGCTCATATAGAAAGAGAAGATCAGAAAAACCAGGTTAGAGTCTTGTTTGGATTTTATGGCACAGTTTTAGATTTTTTTAACGGGCTTGCTCCAAAGTTCCGAACTTGAATTGAATTCCTTTTCCCAATTTTATCTCTACATTCAGAGCTCAGTAGATAGCAGCCAGTAGTTTTAGAAAATGCATGAATTGCTCTGTACGATAAAACTTTTGCCATGCAAAAACATCGTAATAAGAAGAGGTTACGATATTTTGAAGATGCGACAGAACTTGCGGACCAACCTAATATTTGCGGACTCACATAAAGATATCTTACAAAATCGATACGAATCTTGCAACTTCGAAAATTTCCATTCCCAAGCAAAAATCTGCGATTTAAAGGCTTTCAACTGTATCAACTTTTCATATACATTAACTCACTTCCTGATAGGAAAAAGGGAAAACAAAGAAGATTACCTTCTCCGTATATACTACACGGTGCACATTCCCCAACAAGCGCCATTTCTTGCCCATCGCAAAATGAAAAATACTTGAAAAGGTAAAATGCCAGGTCGTTCCTTTTGACAGGTGGAATCTTGTCCAAACATGCAACATGAATGGCCTACATGAGTTATAGAATTGTGCAAAAGATGTTCTTGTTTGTAAATATTTTGTCAAAACATCAGAATCTGAATAGCGTTCCCTCCTCCCTCCTCCTCTTTTTGATTTCAGTGTCGTAAGCCTGTCAAAGTCTTCAAAAACTTTCAAGAAACTCTTCGGAGGCTTGGATAACCCGCTTCTCTCATCTAGGAAATTTCTTCCCCTCCCCAAAAAATTTTCTTGGACTGCCAGTGTAGTAGTTATCAAAACCCCTGGTTAGTTGTTGAGCAGCACACTGTTCTACTGCTTATTCTTATTAGATAACTTCCAAAGAACTTCCAAAGAAAGAATGCTGCCCTCTTGGCGGCATCAGTAAAAGGGCATATACTGGGAGAGAGCACTCGTATAGTAGGTAGTTCTAGTTTTGCTCCTGCGGCAGCGTGCCAGCGCCCACATGACCGCCCCATTGATTAAATCGGCACGATGCTGGCACGACAACGCTGTACACAGCCACTAGGCAAACTAGTCGGTAGTTCAATAGTTACGAGGAAGGTCAGCAAAATTACAAAGCTCTAGAGAAAGGAATGTACCGGAAATGTTCTAATTTACCTTAACTGATTATTACATTCTTCCAAAGGTTTCAGCGTTTTCCTTTTGTTGTCGCTTGCTAATAAGCGCTTAGTTTACGGTAAAGTTTCTTTGCCAACATAGAGGGCTATTCCTGCCCTGCAAGAACAATGCTTCGTTTTTAAACCAATTCTGACGCCTTTTATTCTATGGTTTCTTTTTTGTGTAACAGAATTGGCAATTCACGGCATCTGCTGCATTTTGTCCCTAAGGTCATAAATTTTTTTTTGCTTCAAATCTGCTTAGAGAATAGGTGGAGAAGCTTGTAACAAGCAAGGCCGATATATTTAAAATGGCGCAGTACGCTATTATGCTGCTCTGTTGTCCGTTTCTATTGTTCCGTTTCCTACTATCGCTCGAATTTCGTGTTCTTTCGCATCACGATGTTTCGGTCCCGTTGTCGGGTTTTATTAGTGAATAGCTTCGTCTGATGGTACAAATGGCTGAATTATAGGCTGTTGTCGGCCATCTCCTGCTTTTCTAAAATTTTTATAACGTACAAATTCTTTGGTCTTTTCTCAAAAACAACTACACAGATTTATCCATTTATTTGCAAAATTCACAAAAAGTGCGCACAAGTAAGTGTATTACAATACGACATTAGCAAAATGAGAGCACAAAGATAAAAGGCGCTAACAAATACAGAGAGGCATTGAGTCTGTAGAAATCTACCTAAATCAAGTCTCAAATTCAGATAAATTCTCAATTCTCAAATACACGGGTATTGCTTGTTCGTAGAATATGAGACTGAAGATGTAGTCACCATCTTGGTCCCCGAAGAAGCGAAATGCTGAAAGTTAGCATAAATTGCATTCTGTTGACTGGGGACAATGCAAATTGAATGTTTCCGAGGGTATGAGGTGTCCAGTAATTACAGGGTTTCCCAAAAGTTTTTAAGCCTAGTATTTCCTCAACTGAAACTGTACGAGGCAACATAGACATATGAAATTTAGCAGGTACTTTGCGAAAAGCCTACAAAATAGCAAAATACACTCAGAATTTGATAAACTCTCCTTTGGCCTAAACACACCCTCAGATCCTTGCAGAACGCATGCACCGCGGCAGACAGGTATTTGACGTCGAGGTTGTCTTACGCCTTCTGAAGCACGCGATCCAGTCTGCCAAAATTTAGTGCGGAATAAAGCAAAACTTGCTTTCCATGACTGATCACAAAGACAAGTCAAGACCCGGGATTGAAAGCACGTCAATCTGAAGAGCATATCTGTGAGATTTAACAAAAACGTCAAAATGTAGCAATCAAGTTCTTGAAAACACTAAGGAAACAGGAATTATGGTGTACCCGGAGTGACTTTAGAATGATATTCCAGTTAAAAAAATGCAGGGCTTACTGCTAGAATTGATGACTCAAACTGATTTGGTGTTGGAGTTTTCACCTTTTTTTTTCGAGAATTTTTTCTTCTCATCGGCACGGCATTGCTTCGTTTGTTACCCTTGTATACCTTAATCATGCAATAATGAGCAGAGGCTGTTGATTAGTTTTGCACGTAAACATAAAGCGAGCTTGCTCTACTTTATGCAGTTCAAGATTCCGAAGAGCTTCAAAGGCAAAATAACTATAAATGTTTGAAAAAGGGGCACGTTTTCGTTGGCATGTCTTCAGAATTGTAGTATTGTTTACTCTAAGACAATATCTTGAGAATGTACATCGCAAACGCTATGATTTTTTTTCGAGGAATTCTGAAAACTAGACGAAGAACTCATATGCAACATTTGACTGAAAAGCGAGGAATATAAGCAAAGCTAATGCGATGGAACTTAGGTTCAAAGACTTTGGGACATCCTGCATTAAGTTTGAGAAACCTCTTCCACGAAATGCCAATGAGGATTTCTAGGCGATCATTGTGACCAGGAGCGGTATTTATCAATCTCCATCTCGCTGTTCCATTGTTAACGAGAGCCCGGACAGGCGAGAGCGAACCCTTTACCAAATGGTCCGATATGGCAAGTTTGGCCATGTCGGGCACGGCAGTCAGGCAGCAGAGCCTGATCTCGACGGGTTGGGCCCGGTTGTGGAAAATAGGCAGCGGCTACTAGAACAAGCTTTCCGCTTCAAGTTCGAAGTCTGCTGATCAAAAAAGGAAGCGGGGGTTGAGGAATAAGGCCAAATTGGGAGGAATCTGGAGGAAAAACATTTGAGAGAGAAACCGTCAAAAAAGGCCAAAATTCTCTAATTCCCGCTTCTTAAAACTGCATGCGGTCGGCTGCAGCGCATGCAGCATAGTTCCGAAACACTTCCAGCATAGTACGGGAACTGTGCGGGAACTGTATGGGAACAGTTCCGGAACATGAGAATCAGTTTGGAAACAGCCTTGGAAATACAGGGTGTTCCAAGTGTATGTATACACTGTTTGATCGTTTCTCTCTTTTCTAGATGTCCTTTACTTACCTCCATTTACCATTTTGTAGAGCTGACTTCAACTTAGATTTACAGTATGGAGCAAACATTGCTCTCTCCTCGTACTTTCTTTACAAGTCTCCCTAAAGGTGTGGTTACACCTTGAAAAGCTTCTCAAACTCCTAATATGTTGAGTAATGAAATCAGCGCGAGTTAAATCCCTGATAACACATTTGAGAATTCTGGAAACTTTTTTGAAACAGGACCAATCCATAATGACAAGTGTCATTTCGACTGGCAGATTTCGACTGTCCGCCGGAGGGGTCCGATCGACTGTCTGAGCTGGGAGCCAAAAATTTCCACTGTAATTCTACAGTAATGAAGGCTTGGTAGTCACTTGATACTGCAAGTCCAAGTTATTGCAATCTCTACAAAATGTTACCTGAAGGTTGGCAAAAGACTTCTTTTGGAGAGAGGTATTAATTAATCAATTTATTTGTATAAAACACATCATGAAAAGATGTGCTGTTATACAATGATAATGATGAACGAAAAAATACTCAATAGTACGAATAGGAGAAAACAGGCAAGTTGGTTCAAAATTGGCTCTGACTTTCGCATCGTATTCGACACGTTCTAGGGTATTTTCAGACGGTTGGAAATGAAGAACAGGAACTATGTCGAACGTAAAATATGTATTATTTAGAATGCTTTCATAGACGGTGGAGAACAAAGTCGTAATTGTTTCCAGTTGAGTTTAAGACATTGTGAGGGGCTTTGATCTCATAATTAGGATAACAATTAACAGATCATAATGCTCAAAAAGAACTGAGATTTATGAAGAAGTCGATTTAGACAACTCTCGAGTGATGAGTGATGCAGCAATCCACCCTGTGACCAAACCATTGCTCGTTCCGTCGATCCATTGTCCATCATACATGAATACATACATACCAGTGTCGGGCCCAGGATTTCGGACCGGGGGGGGGGGGGCGGCAAAAAATTTTTCAAATGAAGGTGCGTGGCGTTAGCACCCACTTCGAAAAATTTTTTGGGATGTTTTGCAAAATTTCTGCGGGTCCCCAACCCCAAAAACCTGGAAAAATTTTTTATAAGGCTAATTTGAATTTTTAAAAAGTTTAAAATTTTTTAAACTAATTACAAAAAAAAAACAAGTCGTTTGCACATTTTTATAAACCATATAGGTAAGTTTCAAAAATTTCGCGACCCATTCTCGGGGGGGGGGGTATGTCAACAGCCGCTATTATTATTGCCATTTGGACACCAAATAGCACACATTGAGTGTTTTATAACTTTCTAAAAGTATTTGAAATTTACTAAAAGATATAATAGATAAATTGGTGAACTATGTATCATACTTGCATGGTTTAACCTTAATACCTTGGAATCAATTTAGAACAGCAATTTTGTAGGTCAAAAGCCCATGAAAATGCACTTGAGAACAAATTCGTGAATAATTTGGTCCGTTTTACGGCAAAAGCCACGAGATTTAGAAGGCGGGGTCCTCAGGCAGATAGCAAGCTTATACACTTTATTTGGTGCTTTTCAAAACTTGCATAGCACTAGATTGGAGTTTTGAGTTGGTGACAGCAGGAGAAATCGCGCCTCTTGACCGTCTCCCCCAAACCTGGTACAGTGGAAACCGTTGCCAAAAGGTCAGGATGAAGTGGGAGAAATCGTATAAAAGGTCCTACCCCCACTCTCCTTACCCTCCCCTCTTCTATAGTATACAGGATGCGGAGGTGCGAGACTTCACGCCTGACCGTAGGTGTTCACACCGCCCTCGGCACTGCTCACCGTATGAAAAGTCGCTCACCAATCGCTCACGGTCATGATCCATCGCAGCCATAATGTCGTCAGCGGCTGTTTTGGATTAACGTTAAGCGATTCGTACATGCGCGCTCCTTCGCTGCGATGGTGTTCGTAGCTT